AGGTATAGATATAAACAATCACGTGTGGTTAAATTCGCTAATGAAGTTCAAAGTCATCGTCGTCGTCGTCGCGTTTAAACGGCGATTTATTACGTTCGCCATTGTATACACTATATACGGTATACGCACAGACACACACCAGGACTACTACATTTACGTATATATACAGGGTGATACACCAAGCATGCTCAGTGCTCACCCCTATTTTTTTCATATTTGATGATTAATTCATTCGAATTCAGATTTTTGGAATTATTCCTACTTTTCATTACAGAGATCTTTTTAAAAACGCACAATAAAATACCTATGTAAAATCAGGTCTAGAATTTATTACACTTACACTATTTTTTACGAACGATTAATGTTGATGGATAATTATCACTAAAATCGCTAAGAATCACCATGCCCCTCGTATTAGGTTTTCCAAACCCGTTATCGTGAAAATCCTATTGTTCTTATTTTTGTTAAATAACTCAAAAACTACTTGTTCAGACTTTGATTTCGAATTCCGATGATACGTTATAATTATAGAAGACGTATATCTGCAAAAATAAAATAAATAAATATTATTACAGAAGAAAACGGAGATTCTCATTTGAAAAACAGATGTTTGTATCTCCGCAGAGCGTAGTACAAAAAAATCTCAGGAATTGTATAGCAGTATAATCATTGTCTCATTAAGTTTACATATTTTAAAATTCCTAAAAATCATATTTCGAACTGTATAGGTACCGCTACTGGGTTATTGAAGGGAAAAAAGTGAGTGAACCGGCGAATCACCCTGTATATTATTGGTTCGCATATAATATGTAGGATCGAGTGTCGATACATATACATACCGGTTATTAATGGACGCGAGACGCGTTTTTTACACCGCGTTACGTTTCGATAGCACATTTGCACGATGTACATATTATTATTATTATATGTATATAATCTTATGCGTACACAAATAAAATAGTAAGACGCGAGTATTTTGTAGATAATTTATATTATATATTATGTAAAATAAAAACACCACTTTTTCCCGTCCGTCGATATACGTTTTGAATTTATGACGGCTTGTCGTCACTAAATATTGATGCAGCGGCGGCAGCAGCGCTGCAGCATTATAATAATAATATATATGAAGGTCTTTTTTCTCTTTCTTCCTCCTCTGTGTATCCTTCTTCTATTTACGGCCCGCCAGTCTTCCGACTATGGTTTGCACTTAGGGGCGGACATCGTCGTAAAGATGCCATCACGCACACACGTATAATATAGGTACACTGTAGTATACTATACTTTATATATACGTGAAGTATGCCTACACCTATATACACACAACCACAACAACAACAGCAACAACAACAACAACAATAATAATAATAATATGTACGCAGCCATCGGTCTCACTCGCGTGGGTCTATCGATAGTGTTTCGCGCTTACGATATATTTATTTGATTTCCCGTCCCGGTGTGTGTGTGTGTGTGTGCGTGTGTAGTTTACTGCGAATAATGCCGACGAATATACCATATAATATACAGTACATATAATATTGTTCAACCATCACTGCAGCAATGTTATATAAAAAAGTACCCACGTATATTATATAGTCTCTCTCCGCCCATAAATCTCGGGAGGAGGGGAGGGGAATATCCACTCTGATTTATGTATCGTTTTTCCGTTTTCGGGCCTCCGTTTGTCTATATAATATAACGTTTTGACATTCGCCCCGTGTTCACGCTTCTCCTATAGGTGTACGGTGGGCACACACGCGGGTAGGTATATTACATTATATAAAATATCTATCCGTCACGAGTGAGGGCGACGAAGTATGATGATAGACGACTGCTGCCGCGCGACCGTGTCACCTGCTGTATCACCTATACCTATTACAAAAATAGGATTTTTCCAATGTTATTATTTCTCAGTCCATTAAGAGCTTTTCACGATTTGTTTGGATCGTCGAGGTGGGATTAATGGTTTTTTTTCCATTTCTCTATATGATATTCGCCCCGTCGACGTTCAGCAGCTGTGATGTGCACCACGGCAGCAGCCGTCTTTTCCGGCGACGGCGAAGACAGTACACATTACGATGACCTGCACCGATCCGCACAGACTATTATACGTAGCACACGCGTCGTAGGACCACGGGAGTCGTTTCTAAAATGAAAATATATATTATGCCTATTGTAAATTATTTTTGTCTTACGTCCGGAATTCCTTCAACGGTAGTGCTATTTTCCGACACGGTTATCCGTCAAATGATGTTCGTGTGTTATGCACCGCGATCCACAGCGAGTTTGCGTCCATGGTCGATATTACTTTTATAATTTATTTTTGTACAGCAACTAGGACACATACAATCCGATGTATAATTCTAAATGTAGGCATGCACACAATACTATAATATAAATATTATTTGAATATTCATTGCGTAAGTCATAAAATACACATACGTGCCTACTTCGACTATATGTATAGGTAAGTAGGGTGAGCCGTATACGGGGCAAAAGGGCTTGGGGTGCCTGTGTAAAGGATGAATTATTACCGACATCCCCATACTTCTCCCCCACCCCCCGCTGCATCCTAAATCGTAGACCCTATATAATCGATCCGTTTAAAAACGACAAATTTCCTTAACGATGCCGGCCGCGGCGGGTTCGAACGCCAACAGCGAGAATTCTGAATCAAAATAAAAAAATTATTTTGATTTTTTAGGATATTCTGTTGACTGCTAAAATTGCATAATATAAAACGTAATTATTATTGTGATTGACGACTGTTGTTAATGAAGAACGTAAATACGAACTTGTGGGGATATACAATCAAAATAGGTAGGTACATAGGTTAGTAGATTATATAAGTGTAATTACTGTGACTAATTTATACAGAATAAAATTTTTTATTATACTATATTAGTATATGTTTAAGAACATCTTGTAAAAAAAAACTATAAACACAAGATTGAGAGGTGTGTACCTATAGGCTATAGATAACATTTAACCTATATACCTATATAGGTAGATAATAAATATCAAAATAAATATGCTGACGCGCTGTAATGAAAAAATTAACAACGTGAAAAACAACAGAATACTGCATAAATAATATATTTATCAACATGCGATGTTTCAATTTTTTTAAATGTACTAATTAAATTGTTTCAACAAATAAGTTGATATGTTTAAGATGTAATATAAAAATAATACATATTAATAATAATAAAGCATATTATAATGTACCTTACCCACTAATTATTATAGAAATCTAAAAACATTATTTAGAGGTAAACCGTAGACGATGCCATTAAGTTTCAATATACTACGTATAATTCTTATGTATAATATGTATACTTTTTTAAAATAAGTTTCAAACATTCTAATACTTCGAAAAAATATTTCCTTTTTGATCTCTGTTCGTTATAAATGTATTACCTAGTTCAAAATAAATCAGTAGGCAACACAACGTGCACGGCAAAGACGTTTAAAGACTAAAATAAAACCCCAGTTAGGAAAGCTCACCCTGAGATCGCTCTAAGTTCCGGTTTCTAAACGAATTTTAATAAAAAGCAATTAACTATAATTTTATGTACAGTAAGTTGTAAGTTGTAAGTATTATAGTATCTACGGAAAATAAATAAATGACTTATCAGCAACAATTGAAACCATATTCCTACTGTCGGTCTCGTTAAGTATTCAAATACTTTTTTTTTTTGCACTTCAACGACCAATATTTTTGTTTCATTTTTATCACATAAAAACTTTTCCATTTTTTTTTTTTTTTTTTATTAGCTATTAGTATACAACTATGACAGCTCGACTATTACAGAGTACTATTCCATTTAGAACAATAATTTATAATCTTTTAAGATGCATGTTAGGGCATGCACTTTTAAGAATTTATAATATTTCATAAAATTGCACGCACGCAGATAACACAATATTGCTAAAAATTAAAATGTTCATCTATCTGGCTGAAGTTTAACTTAATCTGATTAAAATATACTAGGTATGTGACATCTGAAATTTCTAAGCCAATTGAAAAATGTATTTATTAGTAATTGTAACATAGGTACTTGTGATAAGATTACAAATTCTTAACGAAAGATATGCAAAAAATGTAGGTACCAACGTGTGAAGTATTCTGAATAATTTTGAGAGGCAGTACATATTATTCAAATACGTATTTCAAATATAAATGACACCAATTATTTAAATACGTATTCTGAATACATTTGAAAAGTATTTTTAACAAGGACGGATCACTGGTACAACGGATGGACTCAACGGGATGTAAGCAAGGCGGAAATCCATACAAATTTTAGTGAGGAGGGGTCTAATATTTTTAACATCAATGTGCCAGCCGCCAAGAGGGGGGCTTTGATTCCTTTGACTAAAAAGCTGTTTATTTTGGCGGGAAGGGGGCTATACTCCCCTCTTATTTCTGCTTATGGATAGGATAAAGGGTTCTAAACTTATATATTATGTTTAGAAACCTAAAATAGAAGTAATTTAAATACAGCAACTGTAACGATTGTGATACACTGTCTGTACTCTGTAACCAAATTTAAGATAGGTAGATAAAATATTATGACTGACTGGCTAAAAACATTACACTCATTTCTCCGCTCTCGACAGTCGACAAATAATTAACCAATATTACAAAAAAAGATGATGGAATTTTTTTAACGTATAACGGAAATTCCTCCAGCTTTTTATAAGTTTTAAAATAGGAATAACATTCTCTAGTTACATAATAAAATAAATTTTAAATGCGGACATAAATTAGTAAAAAAAATTGTGCTATTAATAATTATAACTGTAATATGCAGCAGGGCACAACTTATCACCAACACCAACCATGACAATAGAATTTACCACCTTCTGCCACATGTGTGATGAGTCTTTGCTAAACACTAAGATTCATTAAAATTTGGTTCTAAAAAATTGTCAACAGCAGTTTTAAAATTGAAATATAATTTAATTAGATAACATCAAAAGACAAAACTTTAGCGAATAAATTGTAAAACATAAAACACATGGTAGAATATTAACAGTAAGAATAACAGCACAATAACAAATAACTAATAAGCCAGTGACGTTGCAAAAGATATTACTGAGTTAAACATTGAATTGTTAATTTTAACCTCATAGTATTGTAATTTGTCATACGAATAACATAATTATAATAATATGATAATATTTTAAGAAATTAGAAATGTTAAGGTAAATGATTAAATTTAAAATTATTTTACTTCAACAGTATTTTTATAATACAATTAATTAGAGTCTATCAATAATTAATAATAAGAAGTTGACAACGCCACCGTTTGCATTTATTAATGCATAAATAATGAGACAATTATAATATGTCTAATATTCAAAGTATAATAACAAATTAATATTAAATGATCAAGCACCAATTTTTAGACTTTTAACAGCCATAAACATTGAGCCATAAACCTTGAGTATATAAAATTCGTTCAGTGATTTACAATAATTGTCAATAAGTGGCACGTATTTACCCTGCTTATAAACTAAAGTATTTGTAATACATAATATAATTGAATAATTAATTTTATATAATATTAACCATAGAGTAGATTTGGCAAATGATTTTAATTTCGGTTTATTTAAATTAGAATATAAAAAAATATAGAAAAAATTAACAAATCTTCAAAAAAATAAAATAAAATTGACATAATGAAAATGAATACATGTAAATTTAGTAAAGTGAGTTTAAATGTTTACCGTGCGTTGAATGTTAAAAAATAGAAATGTTTGTAATATATTATGTATTTAAATAAGACTAAAAATAACTATTATTTTTTTAAATACCCAAGCCCAAAGTATTTAATAATCAAATACCAACATTTATATGATTCGCAATAGATAAAAAAAGAATAAATTATGAAATTTAATCATCACAATTTAAATCTTGCTTTAAGAATGAGTAAAAATATTCATACTAGTAAAATATACTTGTATAAAATATTAATATTAAATGCAAAAAAATGAAAATAGTAAATATCAATTTAAGTTTTTAGATTAAATAATGCGAAATGTGTAAAATGTATTAATGATTATATAAATAGAATACTGTATACAAATATCAAATGTATATTACTATTTTTAGCCAACAACTAGAGCCGTCAGACATTTTTTGTAATCACCCGATGTATCGTCCTGCAACACAAAATTGTTCAATAAACAAATTAGATTTCTGTAGAAACTAAAAATACAAACAAAGTAAATAAATATTTGAAAGAAATAGGTTAGTATTTTCTACAATGGTTTCTATTGGATGTGTGCAAAACCAACAATTTTTCAGACTTGGGTTAAAATAAATTCAAGCAAAAACTAATAGCTTTAAATATTAGTTAACTATTGATTAATTCAGCAATCAATCATTACAGCCGACGTATTTTGCATTCACTACTCGTGCAGCAACTCACCATAGTATCAGACTGTTGATTGACATAAATAAAACAATAAAACAAAACAAATTTTAAATTAGGAATCATATATGTAGTCAATCAGATTTTAAGCTTCAAAAAATCCGGGTACGGATTTATGAATATTTTAATTTAAAAAAATTGTTTATTAATAGAGCCTAAATTAATGAGATAGGTCATATTATGAACATTTGAAGCTGGGTCACAAACTTGTTGATTATTATAAGTTCATTCTAAATAAGAACGATTATTTTTTTTTTATTTATTAAATTTTTATTGTTTCATCATAATCTTTGTTTTTACAATTTTTTTCTTTTTATATAATATAGAGTAAAAGAGTGTTATAATAGTGTATAAGATAATTTATAAATTGTTTTAATTTAACTAAAATGTACTTAAATTATGAGTTGTTTTATTAGGTCAATGTTCTGATGATACTGATGCTGAAGATGATGATTGAGAACGATTATAATAGTACCGAGTACTAAAAGTTACCTTCTTTAGTTTTATTCAATGAAGAAATATTTACCTCTAAAATATATAACAATTTAAAAAAAATGGTAGCTAACTTTTGGCATAGATTAAAATATTACACTATGGAAAAGCAACGTCAATGTTATTTGTCGCTAATTATTTTAATTTGGATTTGACACACTATTGTTGCGTTTGAGGGCTAGATATGAGTAGACTTGCCTCCTGTCACTATGCACTATGTGTTACAAGTGAATCAAATCCAAATTAAAATAATGAACAGTAAATGATTGCATTGACGTTGCTAAAAGTTATTAACATTATTTTAAAATTGCTAAAGAATATACAGATCATAAAATTGTTTTTTAATCTTTTGGATACTTTTATTTGAATTAATTTTAAAAAGTGTTAGATATTTAATATTTATTTATATTAATTTATCATAACGATTTATTATAACCTATAAGTTTGTAATAACTGATTTATTTATTTATATTAATACAAGTGTAACTATATAAAAGTTAAAATTAATGAATGGTTGATGTATAGTGAAATTAAATGATAAGCAACAGTTGCAAATCTAACTCCATTAAGAGCACGCCACATTTACACGTCTCAGTTTTACTAACGTACAACAAATTCATGTTCACAATGATACATTTTACTCTGTTATTTCTAAAATTACAGTGAATTGACCTGTTATAAAAATTTAAAGATAAGATTATAACCTGGGCATAATTTGGGGATTTTATTGTTATTTTTGTTATGTAGTAAGTTATGAACATTTTTTAACTGTATATTTTAAAATGATCATAAATTACTAAAAAATAATATCAATTAAATCCTCAGAGATGCCCTAGATATATCTTACTTTTAAATTATATAACAGGTCAATTCACTTTTGTTTTAGAAATTCAACAGTATAATCAAGTGCTGTTAAAAAATTTACTAACCTACAATATAGCAAATTGATGTTCAAGTGGTTCATTTTGTTGGGCTTTTATTGATATCATATCTTAATTTAATTATTAAATTGGGTTATAATTGTGTAAAATATTAAATTTTTAAAATAATCATTTTGCTCAAAAATTTAAACATTGATAAAAACCATTGAGATGCCCTCGATAATATTTTTAGCTTCAAATTCGATAAAGAATCACTCTAATATTTATACAATGATTTCACTTAAAGAGGACACCACCCATGCATTTGTTGTCTCCATCTTACCCACATACAACATAGGTTAAGTTATTTATCATCATTTTTGATCACTAGTTTCAATAGTGTGCTGTTATTTTTGATATTAGAGTGAATTGGCCTATTATCAAAGTTTTACATAAGAACACTATCTATGCTTAAGCGTCGGCAGATTTTTGGATATTTTCATTTTCAAGCAAGATACGAGTATGTGAAATAACAAAAATGCTCATATCTCGCTTGAAAATGAAAATATCCAAAAATCCACCCACGCTTAAGCATAGATTATGTTCTTACCTAAAACTTTGATAATAGGTCAATTCACTCTAATATCAAAACTAACAGCACACTATTGAAACTAGTGAATGAAAATGTTCTATGTCATGCGTGTGTAAGACGGAGACAACAAAGGCGTGGGTAGCATCCTCTGAATATTAATGCCAACATCAAAAAAATAGATTCCACTAAATTTAGATTTTGTATGATGTAAGTTTGTAAAACAGAGACAATACTTGTGGGTGTGATATCTAAATGTAATTGTATGATAAAATAATTGGTAACATTTTTATTATTTTATTTTAGTATCTAGTATTAAAAAAAAAAATAGTTTAATATAATAATAAATAACTAAGTGATTGAAATTGATGAGACCAATTTTGAACTAAAAATGTATTTAAATATATAAGTCAGTCAAGTTGAAATATAATATTACTTTATTTTATTTATGACTTATGTACCTGTTTGAAAGACTTACAAAAGTAAAATGAATTTTATTGTTTTTCATATTTGTCAAACTATCAAATTAATGTTTAATCAAAACGTGATATTATTTAAAAAATCTCCAGATTAATAAAAATGACTAAAAAATAAAAATACAACTCATTTAAAACAAAAATTAAGATACATTTTTCTCCATGATAAAATGTTTGGTTTGTGCTTGTTTCAAGAGATAAATATAAAATTGTAAAATGTAGTAGATATTATAAAAGCTATAAGTTAAAAAATAAAAATGTTTACTTAAGGACTATAATTTATTTATTTATTTTTTAGCCACCGTTACACAATGATGGAAAATTACAATAGTTGCTTTCATAGAGTTTGTACAGTGTCAGTACGCATGATAGTTCTTTCAAGACAGCAATCATCACATTTTTCTATTATTGCGTAAGTGAGGCTTTAACATGTAAGGCTTCATAATATGCATAATATCATGTCTTCTTTTCAAATATACAATATACTATCCTATGCTGATATAATGTTTCAATAGTTCCAATTTTGTGTAACAACTTTTAATAATAGAGTAACTAATAATAATAATTCACCTATTATCAAACTTAAAGGTAAGTAAGAATATAATCTTAGTTTCGCTAAGGTTTTTCATAGGATTAAATATTATCAAATTAAAAAAAAATTATCATGAAATTTAATAATTTCGCACCTTTACTTCATAATATGACTAATATATTATTTAAGAGATAAAATATAATGCTTACCGCAATATCAGCCTCCAATGATTTCCCATACATTGACATGTAAGCATTTTTTATTTCAACCATATCTATTTCACAACGAGTTGCAACAATACGAATCAGTGCTCGGTCATTTGTGCCGAAACCAGCCATGCTTTCATGCAAACGTTTGGCAAAATATGCACTTTTGTCTCTAACAGATTTTACTATAAAACAATAAATCAGTTTATAATTTATACACAAATAGTTTAAATTAGAAAATTTCAAATTCTTACCAACTGCTCTAAGCCCATTCTCAATATCTCCACTGAATTCACTTTTGATAACATCTTCAAAGTCTCTTCCAGTTAGACGATGGTATTCCAAAAATACTTGTTGTAATTGACAAAAGCTACGGCTACACAAGATCATGTTGAATGTAGACTCATCAGTTCCAAATTGTAGTTCACCTATTGAGTTAAAATAATTTAAAAATACACTTTTGATTTACATTTTTTACACAATTAATGAAATAATTTACCAGCTTGTAATAAGTTTTGTGCATCAGCTTGTGCAGATGCCACATCAACAAATGTATTTTCATTGCGTTGTCCCTGTGCAAATAAAAGTAAAATTACATTAAGATCAAAGAATAGTAGTAAAAAAAAAACAAACCTGACAAAGTGACACTAATAATCTGCGGAAACTTCCTGATGTTTCTCCCATAAGCTCTTTTTCTAAATCATTTCCAAATACTAGAAAAAACATGATAATTAAACTACTAAACAAATATAATTTATTAATACCAAACATTTCAGTATAAACTAAATTTAACATACATTTATGGTATGCCATTTTTATGTTGTTAATCTCAGAATTAGAAGCAGTGCATATGATTTCAATTATCGTTTCTTCATTAGTTCCAATACCATCAATAGCATTGTGAATTTCTTTAGCAAGAAAATCATAAGTAGGTGTCATGAGTCCTACAACCAGATCTTCAAACTTTCCACTCAGTTCACTTTTCAAATCGGATATTAAATCCTAAAATAACAAAATAATATTTTATTTATAAAACAAATTAATACTATAATATCAATAATTATGTAATTAAGCATGTCATAAGACTAATGAAAATTGTGTACTACTTACTTTACCAAACATAGTCTTGAATTGAATTGCAATTTCCTGTCTTTGAGAATTGACTCTATGAGCCAAGACCTGTATTATCGATTTTTCGTCAGTTCCAAATCCTTTCATAGCTTTACGCAATATTTCAGCATCACGACGTGGATCAAATGGATTGGCTGGACGAAGTGTTGGATTAGACTAAAACAAAACAGAATGTTTTTTAATATGCCTAACATGAATATAGTACAAAACTTTTATATGTACCATTATTCTTTTTTTAAACTATTAAACTAATATTACAATGCAAAGTTAATGAACAAGTTAGCAATAAATAACTATTAGTTACTAGTTATCAAAATTAACATTGGGGGCATTACAACAGGGGCATATGCATCATCGGTTATTGAATAATATCAATAGCAAAATATAAAAGCCAATCATCATGTTATCTGCATTATCTTAATTATAGGCTATAACGTTAATTAAAATAAGTGCGATAAAATAAAGTGTTTATGAAAGCGAGATATTAATGAGGTATATAATATGTATTGGTATTCTTCAGAACTTACTGTTATTCCCTTAATAATAGACATGTAGAATCAACACTAATTAACAATATTTAATCATGTATAATTAGTTGCAGATCGTAAATAGTTTTTTAATTTGCAAAATTTCATATATATCTATTTCCATCAGATATAAGGTCAAGAATAAATAAATAATTAAGTATTTTGTTATTTATTTTATGAACACTCCAATACAGATTTTTAAAAATGGAAAACTTCATGGGGTGGGTAAAGGTGGGTTTTGTAATTTTTATATTTGAACAGTAATTTTAAGCTAAATTATTATTAAAATAAACAAAAATATAAATATTTGTAATTCATTGATGGTAGTTTAAAACAGCTATAGTGAACCTTTCATCTTGATTGGTATCATAATAAATATTTCATTAGGTAATTATTAAATTATTAATATATTTAAAAGAAATTAATGAAATCTCACCTTTTTCTGAGCAGGTGAGCTGCTCAATGGTTGATAATGTGCAGGAGTGCTAATAGGTGGATATGCTGCTTGTGGTGGAACTCGAGAACCACCGTCGTAACCACCAGCTGTCATATTCGGATAAACTGAAGTTGCTGGTTGATTGGGTGGGTAGGCTGATTGAGTAGGATAGGCTGATTGAGTTGGGTAGGCAGCAGACTGAGGTGCGAAACCAGAAGGCAGTTGGGCATTTGGATATGGGGAAGCTTGTGGTGGATATTGGCCTGGTACAGTGGGTGGATATTGACCGCCTACAGAAGATGATGGGTATTGGCCTGGTACAGCTGATGATGGATACATTGATGGATTTGGAGCATATGGACCAGATTGAGGTAAGAACTGTCCAGGTTGTTGAGGTGGATATTGACCTATTTGAGGGTATGGGCTCTGTTGGGGGTAGCTGGGTTGGCCTGGTGGATAAGCACTTGGCATTGGATACCCTTGTTGTCCTACATTACCTCCGGGGTATGATGGATAGGGTAACTGGGAGCCAGGCTGTTGAGCTCCAGGCTGGCCAGGGAATCCCTACCAAAAAACAAAATAGTTTATAAAATATTTTAATAAAGTAAAAACTAAATACATTTTTTCAAAAGCGGTGATTTATAAGTTTGTAAGACAATTATAAAACCAGGTTTTTTTTTTATCATAATACATTAATATTTAATTAAGAATGTACATTATACACCATACAATAAATTTAAACAATCGGGTTTGAGTTCAAGTTTAAATAGGTGTAATTTTATTATTTTCAATTTGACTGGAAATACCAATGTTTAGAAAAAATATGCTTCACCTTGGTATAACAATATTTGTAGAGTACCTACTAGAATACAATTAATGTAATAAAATATATCGATAACAAAAATAATAATTAATATGCTTATAATTTCTAAATGATGTGTTATTCCTAGTTATATACTTCTACCTATATATAGTTGAATAAAAAATACACTCATACCACAATAGTAATGCTTACCTATATAAAAAATAAAAATAATCATATGTATTTCTAATCTTACATTAAGCAGGTGTATTTTTTTATAGTAGTTAAGCATGATGAAAACAATGGTTAAGTCAGAATATGGGGGTCGAACTTAGTTTTAAAGTTATACCTATCTGAAGAACGAGATCCAATCTTATAACGAGATCCAATTTTACATAACAACTGACAAGTAGGGCATGTTTTTGATTTTAATTGGACACGCCAGATAAATATGAAAATACTATAAATTAAAATTAGCAATAATATTTAAACTAAGTTCAACCTTCAAATTCTTCCTTCCTCGTTGTTTTCAGCATGCTTAACTATACATACATAAATACACAAAGATACACAAACTTAAAAAAAAAACAATGTGAGAATTGTTTAATTTAAGATCAGTGTAATAACTATCATTTATATCTACAATTTTATGCTAGATCTAATACTAATTGTAGGTACCTGTAAGACAGAAGTTATTTATCAATCAATATACCAACAATGTTTATGGTTTACATACATACTCAATAAAAGTGCTTATATCCAATAGGTATTATTAGTATTATTAGTATTACAATGTATAACCTAATGACTTATTAGCTGTCTATTGTATCAATCAATATAAAAGTGAACCTAGTTACCTAACTGATAATAATATTTTAATGTGAATATTATTTTTACTAATTTAATAATCTACAAACAATTTGTCTTATAAAAAAACATATATTATCAACCAGTTTCTAAGACTACCTAATGAAATGTTACCTAATAAAAATCAGAGATGATACAGCTGTTAGTGCCATTGTACTAATAAAGTCATTGATAAAACTTATGAAAACTTGTTAACATACATCAAAGGATTAATATATCCATAAAATATGATTAAATATTAAGATTTGAAGTGTTAATAGTTATTAGTTCCTACTTCATAATCTTAATGCTATATTAATGAGATAAAACTAAATAATAATTAGTTACAATGAAGGTATCTATGTGTACACATGCTAGTAAACTTACATAGTTTACAACTTATTCTATATTATCAATGGAAAATCAGTCGAACATATTATTGTATATTCATAATAATAATAAAATTGTCAACTATGACTGATACAGACTTATGAGTAAGGACACAAAACACACATGTTATTGCATATACAATTGGTAGATATTCTCAAATTGAATGGTTTATAACACCAACAGATTTGATTGAATTTTTTTTTCGAACCATTTGGATTAATTATTAGTGATTAATGTGGAATTATGCCAATTGGAAAAGGTTATTTTTTACCAGTCTATTATTTTGTTTCTTCTAAAACAATTTTAGTTAACTTGTAAGTTGTAACCTCTCAACCAATTAACATAATCATTTGAAATTGACTACCTAGCATGCATACTTCATGCCGTTAGATATTTTGCTCGAATAAAAGAGTTAGGTAGGTACAGCCTTATAAGTAAATAGATACCTATTGTAGACCAGGATGAATTTTAGTCTTAAAAAATAAACTCACCTGATTGTTAGGAGGATATCCTGGATAGCTCATGTTTATAGATTGTTGGAATTAGAAATTTTTTTATATTCGGACGGGAAGTAATTGAACACCACTAAGCAAACGAACTAAATTATGTTGGATACTGAGTGAGTAACGACAGAAGTGAACTTGTGATTACTAACTAACCACTAACGAGTAACGAAGAGAATACTCAATACGACTATAATAATAATATGAGTGACCACCGACGACCGACCACCTTTATAGTGACTAATACGAGTTACGAGTGAAAACGACGAGTCGACGAATGACTAATCACTAATGAGTATTGAGTTAATTATAATATTAATATGACATTACGACTGTGCACTGTGCAGTGTGCGTCGTGCGAGTGGGAAATAAATATAATATCACTTTTATCAAAACCACATCCTGTGCAACATGTTTTCATGGAACCAATAAACGTCGAGTGTCACAGCATACCATCTGTGATACCATGGATCTGTAAAATATGTAGCATACCACGGTATACTGATTATTATTAAATTATAACATATGTTTAGAGTCAAGAATTGATTACACCGTGCAACTATCTAAGCCGTGCTTGGGGCGGAGTCCTTTTCAGTATTAGCGTTTATTTTATTATTTTGTAATTTGTACTTAAATGTGTTTCGCTTGCGTTTGACTTGTGCATCATTTTTATCGGCGATAAAATAATAAATCATCCAAAATGAGACTGAGAGCGATATTGGGTTACTCGATCTTCGGAACGGGTTCCACATTGATGTCGGCCATCATACTGTTCTACCTGTTGGCCGGTAAAGGTGAGCAAATCAGTATTGGCTGGTTCTTGGCCAATACATCGCCCTACATGTGGGCTGTGTTGGGTATATCGCTAGCGGTTGCCCTGTCTGTGGTTGGAGCCGCCTTGGGAATACACACGACCGGTGTGAGTATTGTCGGTGGTGGCGTGAAAGCGCCTCGCATCAAGACCAAGAATCTTATATCCGTCATCTTCTGCGAAGCGGTGGCCATCTATGGACTTATCACTGCAATTGTCATGTCTGGCCAGTTGGAATCGTTCACAGACAATGCGGACACTGCTCAACAAATCAGGGATCAAAATTGGATGGCCGGCTATTTAATATTTGCTGCTGGTATAAGTGTAGGTCTGGTCAACCTGTTTTGTGGTATAGCTGTTGGAGTAGTGGGTTCAGGTGCGGCTTTAGCGGATGCAGCCAATTCGTCGCTATTTGTTAAGATTTTGATTGTTGAAATTTTTGGTAGTGCCATTGGTCTTTTCGGTCTAATTGTTGGCATATACATAACTTCCAAAGTGAAGATGGGTGATAAGTAATCTAACTTTTTATGTTATTCATGTGTATATTTATTTTTGAATAGTTTTATTTTGATTTTGAATTCACCAATAAAATGTAATACATTGGATGGTTCTTAAATCTACCAAGTAGTATTAGTGTTATTACTATAAGTTAACTAATTATTATTTCACTCGGTCTATTATTCAATTTATTTGTAAAGTACCAATACCATACACATTTTGCATAGAAAATTATAATATAAATACATTATACATTTATATATATACAAAATTAAATAATTGTTTTTATGTAATAAATTATGTTAACACATAGTCCTATTTCCATCCGTAATGTAGTAATTGTGATCAAATCTGGCCTACTGATAATAGTGTATGGAAAATGATTCCTACAAAATTTAAATCCTTGAAAAACCTTTAACTTGTAGACTACTTATTATAAGGGATAGGTTAATACATTTAATTTTTGCAGCACATACTGTCTTTGAGTAATATTCTAAGTATTATGTTACTTTTAAGCTAGTAAACAATAAACGAAGAAAAATTGTTCATTTTATTTTAATTTTTAATACCAAAATATGTACTTCATCATTCCACGTGTTCATAAATAAATACTTGTTAATTAAAACATTAAATCTGTTACAGAATTTATTTAATACCTATCATATTTACCATTTTGTATTTATGTTGTAATAAATATACTTATTGTTCATAGTACATTTGACATACTAAAATATAAAGAAAAAATTGAAAACTATAAAAGGTAAAAACTATGTATTATTTATTTGGAAAATCTGATTGTGTAATATTTATCAATATGATGTATAAAAATGAATGTCTTTGTTCGTCCTCTAGACTTAAAAATTACTGGACAGTTTTAATAAAAGTTATGTTAATAGATTTCTTGAGACTTGAAGGGTGTTTACTTATTTTTTTCGACCCCTATATGTTGGTTCATGAAAACTAAATATTTTTTGTTTATTTAAAAGGTTGCCATTAGTCACAGCAGGGTTGGATTTAGGTATAGGAGACTTAGTGCCACGGCCATTCACAGTTTTGTAATTATTTACCGATAAATACAAAAAAACATATTTAATTTATAATTACAAATATTAAAAAGTATGTATAATATGGTACCTAATTTTTCTATTTAAAATTAAATTAATAGACATTTTTGAAAGTATTAATGTATGTATTCAAATAAATGAGCTGTGTTCTAGTCGTTGTAGAATCTAGAGGTTTTTGTGCCATCCAAAATTGTAAGGTTAATTGTAAAATTGTTACTAAATGCAATTCTATAAATTAATACATGTGGGTTGAGAAATTTACGTCAAATGTCAAGATAATGACATACAACAATTTTTGTTAATAATCAATTGTTATGATTGAATGTAGTACAACACAAGTTAATGTTTACATCTTATTACCTTACAAAGTCAAAAGTACACAATGTCATAATGTAGTTTAGCAAATAGTATTATCGTCTTCTACTTAAAAATGAAAGAATTATTAAATAATCAAAATATTATTATCATGTTTATTTAATGGGGGACTCCCAATATATTCTGCCCAAGGGCCACCTCTGGGTTACAGATATATTAATATTATAATAAGTAAAAATGTTTTTAAATATTTTTCCAAAAAAAAAACATTATATAATCAAAGAGGTACCTCTTAACAATATTGGATTTACATCGGCTTTTAAGCATTAGTTTCCATACTGTCTCCAGTTTTTTTTTTGTTAACATAAAAAACATTTTCAGAATTAAGTAGTAAAAAATCAAAAATTTAATCATTGTAAGTATTTTACATTTTAACAGAAGCTAAAAGGAAAAAAATTAAGAGTTAATTTTAACCCAGAAGAAGTCTGTTCATACAGCTAGTTATTGTTTATTTCATAAAAAGTAAAGAGATTGTTGGAAATACAAGTCATAATATGTAAAAATTTTTTATTTATTATGAAAATAATACATACATGTTTCATTCATTTAATTTAAACTAATTATGTCCAATTTCATTGATGGACTTAGTTGCTTTGTCAAAAACTTGTTTACCAGTCGGGAATGGATCTTTTTTACTCAATACAACTTTCTTGTGAGCATGTGATAAATATCCGCGCAGCGTCCCTCTATAAATCATGTTAACTAATAGAGACTGTGCTTTGTCATAATCTGTATCAGGGTCATCAAACTTTTTCAATACAGCTGTAATAGTTTCAACTGGTATAATATGATTGTTAGCAATTAAGAAACTGTAAAAAGAAATAAGAACAGTTTTAATTAATTTGAATACAATTTGTTTAGCACTTATGTCATTTTAAATCTTTCACAGTTCTTTTTAGTGTCTTGACAAAAAATGTAACTTATTATTTTTTATAAAACAGTGTATCATTTTTTACAGAAAAACTAAATTTTGTTCTCAATAGTTAGTAGAATAAAACGTATAATAATAACACTCATGCTATTTTTAATAACTTAAAGTGTTAAAATATTAGATTTCTTACAATTTCTTAAACAAGTTCCTGTATACGAGATTTATCAATTTTTGGAGTAGCAAATATATTCCGCATTTCATGTAATACACTTCATTAACATCAATGCATTCTCTAAATTTTTGAACATTGCCCATTTTTATAGACTCAGTCAGATCTTTGAATATATCCAAATTATACTTATCGAGAAGATCTTTTGATGGCATTATTCCCTAAGACAAAAAATAGAAATTCATTTGTAAAATATTGTAATAGGTTAATGCAGTTAACATTTATTTTATTTTATTTACATGCAACATATTTAATGGTATGAGTTTCTTTAAAATCAACGTCTTGTTTTTGATAGAGCTTCTATGACATCCTTCAAATGCGACTGTCAAATTTTCTCTAGCTGTAAAAATCATAAATAATTTACAATATATTTATTACATGTTAAATATACAAAATATCTTTTACAGCATGTCATTTGAACAAAATAATTTCTAAAAAATCATATATGAACTGGTTTACACTCAATTTATTTCATACAACATGAGAACTATTCACTGATATAAAAACTATTACAATAATAAACTAAAAAAATTAAAAAAAATTGTTTTGCTGACATCAAAATACCTTTACAAATTTTTTCAAAATAATGAGTGTAAGCAAATGAGCAAATAAGTTTAATTGTATGAAATATGACCTTTCAACGTCCATATTATAAAAATAAAAACTTGATTTAATTATATATCTATGTATTCTTTTTGCACATATTATTCTACTATTATTTATTTGTATAATCTCTATTAGTTGTATATGTGGACAGTCAACCTCAGATAGATAAGTTGGAGAACCTCTGCTTTTACTTATTTGACCGTCGCTTCCGTGCCAATCTATTTGACTCACACTGTAATATATTTAATTTACACTTTTATGAAATTTGATGAATTTGTGCCATTTTTGGTCAAAGCCTTTTACGTGGTAATGCAAAGCGCAATTATAGTAATAAATAAATAATATTTGATTTTTCTAACCATCATTAAATTTTCCTTCAAATATTTCTTTGCAGCCAGTATAATAATAAAAGGTGACAACGTGTGCAATGGGAAATGTGTTCTTGTCCGGGCACATGAAAATGGTTTTTGTCAAACCTGTAGTCAAATGAAATTTCTTGATTTTATGATACACTTTCAACATCTGATTTACAATAAACATTATTGTCCAACGCTTGGATTGCCGTGCTGGAGCTCGACTAGTTGTACAAACAAATGGTTTAAAAATTATGAAAGAATTGTATAATACTTAATGATAGAGATATGACTTACATGTCATTAGAACAAATACGGAAATACATCATCATTATATCAATATATTTTTTTTGAAAATCATTATACTTTTCCAATTTCAATTTTTTATTTGTTGACTCATATTTATCATATGCATTTAATAGATATCGAAGATCTACACAAACCTATAACATAAAATGTTTATATAATGACAATTAAAAATATAAGTTGTTTTCTTAAAATCATTATATAATTACTGTGTTAGCTAGTGGTACCATCCAGTTTTCACTGTCAGACTGAAGATATT